AGATTCCAAGATACAGAACAAGACTCTAGATTTTTAAAATGGACCACATTTCCATACTGAAGATAAGCCCACTGTCTGGCCATACTAAGCATGCACAAGCCACAGTTTGGCTCCCTCGGGAAGTGTTTCATGATCCCAACAAGAGCTCTTACAAAGAACTCAAAACCCCCATAAAACAAACAAAAACCACCAAACAGGAAGAGCCACTACACAGAAAAAAAAAAAAAAAAAAAAAAAAAAAATCTGCATCACATACTACAAAGAAAAAGTTGCAGAGAAGAGGGAAGGCTGTTCATTAGCTTGCATTATTTTAATTCAAAAGGCCCTTTTCCGAAGGAAAGGAGAGGGCTAGCAGGTTGCAGATTTTCTATATTCAGTTAAGTAGGAGTAGCAAACTCCATCCCTTTGTCCCTCCCCTACAACTACTAGCTTCACAAATCTGCATTGTTACCTTCACTTTTTCTCTTCTCAGGCAGCAGAAAAGACAATTTTCATCAAAAGACCAATCAGAAACACCTTCAGGCTCACAGTCTGTAAATCAGAGGAATAGCAAATTACTTCATATTCATAAACCACGACACAACTGGAGCCAAAAGAGAAATGTCGAATTAAAATACCTGTTTCACAACATTCTTGCCTGCATTCTGAGGATGCAGGCTTCATTTCAGCCATTTTTCTAAATCCCCAGATTACCAAACTGTATACGTTTTATACACAACAAATCTGTTTTTCCAAGCACTGCCAAATACACTCCCAGCTACATAAAGATGAACACACACTCATTAGTAATTTTAGCCAATATGAAACTAACTGTGAGCACTGCCTGGGGGAGGGGGGAAAAAAGCACAAATCACCACGGTAACACACATTTTCTAGAGGCAGAGCTGGGGCTGCTTCTGTCATTAGAAATGCAGAACAAGATACAAACATAGAGATTGAATACCTTTAAACAAACTGAGATCTTTTAATAATCCAGGTCCAAACAGGCCTTCTAGAATACTTTCAAACCCTAAAAGCAAATAAAAGAATTGTTAGCTTTCTAGATTAAATACGTCACTACAACAATATTCACAATAGCAGTTCTATATTTATCTGTTCCAAGAACAGAGCTCAACGTGTTTTCTCTAAGTACTACAAGATGCATGGGTCAATTGTGATGACCGAACTACTGACAAATCACAGCACAATCCAGAGTCCACCGACTCTTGTGCTTTTGTAAATAGCTAGGTTAAAAACAAAGAACATTAGGACATTGAAATAAACCATCTTGAAGAGGAAATATGAAGCTGTTGGTTCTACAAACGTGACCAGGTAACTTCTATAAAAAAAAAAATCTCGTATAAGTCTCCGAACAGAAACAATGTACATTTTCCCAATTAAAACAAAACATTCTTCCATCTGAGTGGCATTCCATTACTTTCCTGAATTATAACAGATGTGAGAATCAGAGTTTCCTGAAGAGTTGGAGGTTTGAGGAGAGAAAATTCGAAGGAAAGGTTTCAGTAGTGCCATGTCACTAAATTCCAATCACAGATCTGCAACTAAGATACACAGTCCAATTTACTTCAGTGCCATGATTTATGCCTCACTTAAAATGAATCTAACCAATTTTAGTTTATTCCAAAAGAGGAAAAACCTTTAGCAAAATTACTGCCATTATTTGGAAATGTTAAATCAATATTACACTAAACCCCTACTGGCAGTAAAATCTACAGAGCTATTAACTACCCAATACTGTGAGAAGATGGGTTAGCAGAGTGAATGTGGAAAGTACAAAGCCTACTTTAAGGGGGACAGACAAATTTCACCTGCTTATAAAAAACTTCAGACTACAACTTAACTGCTTGGGTTTGGGTTTTTTTTCCACTAATACTTTTGTTTTGTAGGCTTAATTATGGCTTGCATATAGCTAAAGGCAGCTTCTCTTACTTGCCTGAATCTTAGAGAAGCAGAAGAAATTAAAAAAAAAATTGAGATACAAAAAAATGGTTTTAAACTTACACAAACTTCCAACACAGAATCAGGGACAGATAAACTACCTGAAATAGTCTTTTTAAGAAACTAGTCAAAATCAAAATAATTGCATGCTATAAAGGAAATCAGTTATTACAATGCAAAAGAATAGTAATTCTGAAATAATCCCAACTATATATAGATACAATACCAAAGTTATCCTTTGGACATCAGACTTCAAAAGAAAAGGACAAGTAGTGTTACATCCCTGTGGGTGTCAGCAAGAGAGTCAATGCACTAATGCCTTTAGATATCAGGTGCAAGACCCTACAGAATTTGCAGTCTGCAGCATGACTCAGATGGCCAAAGCATTCCTGGGGTACAATACTATCCTTGATCCAACTCCTATCAGAGGCTAACACTAAAAACCTAGTATCAGAAAGCACTGAGTGGAAAACAAACAAAAAAAGTGAAAGAGTGACAGTGGAATAACAGTCAAGAGTGAAGAGAAATAGGGAAGAGATCAGAAAACAAGTTGGAAGAGGAGAAACTGGAAAAAACATCCCATTGAACAGCACCTTGTCAGGCAGAGAAGTAGCACTGCCTCCAAAAAAAGCCAATTCAGGCTTCAGGAAGTGGCAGGAACAGTGGGAAAGGGCCGACCAACCTGACCTAGAAGAAAAATAGGAGAATCAGGGTATTGACCCATAGGCTTATAACACTGACTCTTTTATGGGTAGTGACCCCTCAGAATCTGTATCTGAAATGAAACCTTAAAGAAAACAGCTAACCAGCCTCATTCTTTATCTTTTTTTTTTTTTTTTTAAATATATTACACATGTATAAATAAAAATCAGAAAAGCTCAGAAATTTTACTCAAACTCACCACTCTTCAAATAGTAACTGCCAATGACTCATGCTCCACAGTTTGCCATGCATGCAATTGCACACTGAAGTCCCTGCCAAGTTTTACAGCTTGGATATTGTATGATCATAGTTTGCTAGCCCACTGTTCTCAGCGATGCTAATGCCACTCGGATTTTATTAATATTAAATATTGGATTTAGCAGTTGCATAGCAACAGCAGAACATCCTATGTGCAATGCTTGACATTAAAAAAGGCAAATAAGGGAAGTATGAATGTATTCAAAAATTATACTAAAGACTGGCAAAACTGCCATGAAGCTGAGCCCTATTCCCCCCAAATGCAAAGTACAACGCTGTAAAGCCAGTATAAGCCCTGCAATGTTGAATTCAGTTATTCAGGACTCCAAAATAGCAACTGTGTACAGTTAATCATGCACAATACATTGAAAACAAAATCTTGAAAAAGGAGCTGCCTACTTTTTACAGTATTTTTTCTCTCCATTGTCACTGCTCTTAGAAGGTTGAAAAGAACATTTCTTTTTCCCACCGATTGTCCTTTTCCATTTGGCAGATGATATTTTCCTGCATTTCAAATGGAACAGAAATTAACATGGCTGCCCCTGCTAATTCTACTTCCTACACTTTCATCAGCTATATTTCAGTTTCTGACAGCTCACAGCAGCTGAAGAGCAGGCCCAGCAGAAAAGTTGTAGGAATAAGAGAATTAGAAGAGAGAAAAGGGATGAAGACCCCAGTATTTTAGAGCTTTCTCCTAGATATGATCCTTACAATTAAAGCAGCCACATATTTAACCCTTACAATGTTAATGACCTATACAAGGAAAGACATCTTTGGGATGTTAGTGTAAGAATTTAGAAAAAAAGTGTGGTTTTCTTTTGTTTTGTTTTTAAATAAAACACCTACAAAGTGTAAAACATCTTCTCTAGCTCCGAAGGTTCTCCACCAAGTGAAGAATCAGTAAAAGAAAACAATCCCAGAAAGACCAAAGAAACCCTTAGCACTGAAGCAAGGGTGGAATAACTTTTTAAATGTAGAGCTTGTTACACACTTACTACTATTTTACACTCATTATCTCTAAAAGCCATGTTTAAAAAACATTATTCTCAAAAATGTCCTCTGGCAAAAATCAGAATATGGATGTGCTATTTTTATGCTAGGAGTAACAAGCACAGAAATTACAAAAAAAAAAAGAGAAGAGTCAACTATGGAGTTTTCAGCATGGTCAGATTTCACTCCTTTTGTCTCTTCTCCTTAACAGATTTATTTTCGTATTTTCTGACATTTTCATCCTCCCTTTTGTAATCAATAAATTTAAGCTGTAAGTATTGTTTGTTGTTTAACAGTTTAAGACAGTTTAACACTTCAGTTTAACTTCAAGCTTTGGAAAAAAAAAAAATCCATTTAAATCCTCATATCATCTTTTCCCTTAAAACTGAGAGCAGGCTCCTTGAGGTAACACTGTCAGTGAAGTTGACAGTCCAAGAGAGGACTTCACTGGCTGATGTCTAGCAACCTGGATTAGTCAAAGACACATTCTCTCCTTTAAAAAACAGGAATGTAAGATCTTCAGGAGGAGATAGGGGTGCATTTCTGGTCTGCCATTGACACAGAGGCCAGCATTTCAAACAATGCTTCCGCCCCTACCCCTGCGACAGCACACCTCAGTCATACCCTTTAATACTCACTACATAATTCAGGCCTACAACCATCTCATCAAAGCAGTAAAGCTCGTACCACTAAGAAGTCAAGTAATTTTGAGAGTAGTAAAGAAAAAGCTACAATCCATCTTTAACAAAAAAAAAAAAACAAACAAACCCAAACCACACCTACAAGGGCTCTGAAGGGGGAAAATAAAAAGCCAACATACATAGTTATCAACCCTTCAGCCCTAATCTATGAATATCAATTTGTAAGCTATCTCAATAGGCTAAACAAGTACAAGCCAGAGTAGTAGTTAGGTAGATAGGAGATATTGTAGACCAACTGCAGTAGAAAGTAAGACAACTGATTCATTAGCATTTATTTATACTAAACAATCAGCCTAAAACACAGCAATTTGCACTTTAAAAGGAAAACTTCGAAAAGCTGGAAATTGAGTCAAATCAATTAAGACAATAATTGCCTACGTCCTTTGTTTAAATTTCTAAACTTTTTACTAGAAACCCTCAAAACACTGTGGGGAAGGGGAGGGAACCCTGACCTGTTAATTAAAACCAAAAAACCAACAAACAAACAAAACCCGCAAACAACTCAACAAAATCCCAAAATCATGAGACTAAGCACAAAGAAGAGACGGAGGGTTGGAAGAGGGGCAGGGGGATTCAGCCCACAGAACACAAATCAAAATTCAGCCATGTTACAAAAGTCAGAGCAAAGATGTGCAGAGCTTTAAAGTAAGCAATGATTAAAAAAAAAAAATTAAAAAAAAAAAATCAGAAAGAAGGCACACGTGCATACTACCTAAAAAATAAAAAATAAGTAAGAATATTGTCCGATATTAACAAACGTTGAATAGAATGGCATATGATCATTCAGCAAAAATCTATCAAGGTAATGTCATTTAACATTTATCAATTAAAAGACTGGGAGTGGGGGGAAGTTACTCAAAGAATGTTTGCAGCAGAATTAATTCCAGAAAG